GGCCGCGCCGCGCGGCCCCGATTTCCGCCGCTTTTTCCCCAAACCCCCGCGCGAGGCCAAGAGGGCAGCGCGGTTAACAACCTGCCCCAGCCATTGTAACAACCCATCGTAACAACCCTGCCTTTTTTCTTCCTTTTTTAAATTTATTTTTTTTTTACGAAAAGAAACGTCAGGCAAAACGCAAGCAGAGCAGAAGGCGGTAACAAATATATCTTTAATAGAAAACAACCGGTTTGGCAATAAACATTAAATAGAATTATGTACATACGTGAAAATAAGTTAAAAATGGAATTAAGGAGGTTCGTTTCCTGATGAGGATGGAGAGTATCTTGGGAAGTCGCTTTTGGGACGAAGCCGCAACTCCCATCCCATCCCCGGGAAGAGGCTGTTGTGGAAAACGGGGCGTTTTCGGGCTGGAAAGGGCCGGGTTAGGTCTCGTGGCTACGTTACTTTTACCACTTGGTCAAAGAAATGAAAAAAAAAAAAAGACAAGAAAAATAAAAGCAAGTGGTTTAAATGTTTTCTTATTAATTAACTGCTCTGGATTGAAATATTTGTGAATGGGATTAGAAATTCAGTGCTTTTTGCAGAAATCAGCACCTACTATTTTTGAAATGTATTTGCCTCATATTTAGGCATATAAGGTCAGAAAGGGAATAATTTTTGAGCAAACTTATTACTTAATATAATGTTGAAATTCTGGCTATTTGAACTCTTTGAGCCTACGGAAGCTCTAGTCTAATTCTCAGCCAAAACCTTTTAACACTTGCACTGATAGACCTAATCCGGAATCCTTCCAGTCCTGCCCTGGAAGTCTGTAACAAGATATTCAGTATAAAATAACTAGTGAAAACTGAAAGAAAGCGTCAAATCCAAAACAAAAGCTTCTTGTTTTCACACCACAAACACGTACTGGACTTTGGAGTCAGAAATGCAGCACCAGAATTACAGCAGGCAGCTTGAACGGAGAAGATTAAGCAGAAAGCAGAGCCATTTATTTTAAGTACACATAATCAGTTTTGCTCCCTAAAATTTATGCTAATATCAACA